TAAACCTATATTTTTTCATGTATTCCTGTATTGCCCAAGGAAAAGCATTTCCACACAGTAATTATGTTTAACATGCAGACCCAATCCTTGGGTGCTCTCACCACATCCTGTGGACACTTTTGACACAAGACAGAAAGAGATTAACATCAAAAGCTCTCTCAAATGACTGTGGACAGGATATGTGCATGTATGGGAACAAGAAGGCTCCAGGGAGCCTATGTTAGGGTAGAAAATTGTTCCCACACAAACTACTGGTTGGAATCCAGCTTGGATCTATGGACTGAAGGTCAGTTTGTATCACATGCTGTCATGTGGTTATCATCCCAGGCACAATATTATTCATTCATTCATTATAATACTTTTTGCATAAACAACATCCTGCCCAAATTTTGGCAATGCTGTGTGTATTGAAACATCGTTTCCACTGTGGTCCCCCAGTTTTGCTAACACAAAGAAATGGGATTATGGGACTCTGCAGATAAGCAATGGGCATCCATAGGCAAACACAGTAATCTGAAGCTAAACTGATGGCTGAGTGACTAGTAAATAGAAACATGGATTGCTGGATATGAAGTGGCATTCCTTACATAGCTGAGAATGAGCAATACAGATAGCACCAACTCCTTACTGAGCCCTTTCACCTCTCTTTCTGTGTGCACTGTTGGATTGGGCTAGCTGGCAGTGCCATTCCCTTCTCTCCCTCCCTCCCAATCATTTTATGTAGGTTTGTTGGCAGTGCTCATAGAGACTGATGGCCCTCAGTAAGGAGTTTTGATTTTTATGAGTTTTCTTCCTCAAGAATGTTTAGGGGCCTCACCATTCCTAAAAACATTTTCCAAAGCAAGTGTCATGTATTAAAGCAAATGTCTAGGTTGTTATTGCTGTTTCTACTGCTGTTGTGCCCCCGAATTTGATGGTGAGGCCCACAAAAATAGGGAGGGAGAGCTGGGGCCATATTTTGGCCCTAGTCCAACGATGGCTAGTGGCCATGTGTTAAGGGCAGTGAATCTGCTCTAGATTTTAATCCAGACTTTAAGAGAGCTATCCAAGCTGCTGAAATCTGTCTCCAACATAGGTCCAGCACCTGTATACTGCTGTTAAACTTCAGATTAAAAAACAAAATGGGTTCAATTGCATGGAAGCCATCAGCCACCACTAGTCTACAGGTAACATGTGGCTGACCCCTGTTTAAGATATTATACAAGCCTACATATGCCTAAATTCTCTAACGGTACCCAATCTCATCTGATCTTGGAAGCTAAGTAGCTTCACCCCTAGTTAATACTTGGATGGGAGACAGCCAATGAAAACCAGATGCTGTAGGCTATATTTCAGAGGAAGGAACTGGCAAGCCACTTCTGACTATTCCTTGCCTAAGAAAATCCTATGCTTGTCCTGGGGTCACCATAAGTCAACAAGGGGACTTGAAGGCACGCACACAAACACATATGTGATGGCTTTCCCTGTTATTCTTCTTTGCTGTACTTTCCCACGACAGGACAAGGGGTGCTGCCCAAATAGTCCCTTGGCTGTAGTCACATTGGTAGGTGAGTGCTTTTACTTGGATTGGCTCAATTCCATTTAGCACTACTGTAGTATTTTTAAATTGTGAATGCATTCATTCTGTTTATTGTGCACCCTACTCAACAGACCACTGTTTTACAGGTGGGAAACTATGGATAAGATGGTGACTTGCCCAGACCCACACAATGAGTCTGTGGGAGAGGTAGGGTAAAGGCAAATCTCCACGCTGAACCACATTGAACCACACCAGAAAGACCTGGAGCCCTTTCACACCACACAAGTATAGTGAAATGACTCCACCTGCATCCCACAGAATCATGGGATTCACAGTTTAGATCCAGTATTCCCACTCAGAGAGCTCTTCTGGTTTCTCTGGCCAAACTATAAAGCCCAGGATTCCATAGGCAGCAGTCTTGGCAGGTGAGGAAGTATCAGTGCCATAACTGTATAATGTGTGAAAAAATCCTAGTTGAGATGTACAGATGAGTAGTTTCACTAATAATGAAGCAAAGCTTGGAGAGGCTTCTCAATACCACCCAGAGATTCCCTTACAGCGGTGGGATATTAGATCCATGTACATCTCAACTAGGATTCTTTCACACTACTCAGTTATGGCATTGATTCAATTTCACATGCCAAGGCTGCTGCCTATGGAGTGGCGGTGACAATGAAAGACCTTTTTTTAAAAAAATAGAAGATTAATAACCATGTAGGCCTGGCCGCTATTGGTGGGGAGGGAAGCATTAAATCTATCTTTCCTAAAGTGTCAGACAATCTCCTGATATGCCAATGAATGAGGGATATGGAAAGAAAAAGAAAAAACCATTGCTAGTAGCTGTATCTTTAACTTCAGATATGGTTTAAGATAAATTAATCTAAAGCACTTGGGATACTACTTGTATTTTTAAAAACAACTAAAATATAACACCAGTCCTCACCATTTCCCCCATGAGCAAGAAACAAGAAATAAACTGCACACTGCGTATTTCCTCATATTACATATCATAATAATATTAAATATTACATTTTTTAGCCACAGGATATGGTTATGTTACTGGTTTAGATAGCTTCAAAGGTCCTTTAAACAAATTCTTGGAGCATGCTAAATGTTGAAAACTGGGATGTTTGTGGCCAAGCAACATCAGAATGTGATCAAGATTGCAAAAGTTATTAATGAGAAAGAGCAGACAAGCTAAGAGAAGCTACAGCAGTTTGCTGTTTCCTGAGCCTGTTGGGAAGGGCAAGATTCATCCATTCTTCTCCTCTTTTTCCTGATGAATAAATTGAGTGGAAACTACTTTTGTACTTTGAACTCAGTTTGCACCTTTAGAAGTAAGAAGAGGACTAAGGGGGAAAGTAAGAAGAGGAAAGAAAACCTGGAGCATTTTAAAAGCAGCTGAAAAGATGGGATGACAGAGGATTCATTGCACCCCTAAGCCTGCCTATCCTTTGTCTGATTCTGGAGATGCAGACTGTCATGTAAGGACAGGAACAAACTAAACAGCAAAAAGTCAAGATGGGCTGCATATAATAAAGAGAATTCAGTATCCATGAGAATGTCATGTTCAGATGCCCCCAGGCTTGTACTTAGAATGGTATGCTAAAAATAGCAGTTTCTGGCTGACCTGCAAACCCAAATTCTGTGAATTAAACAAAGCATGCAAATGATGTTGCATAAAAATACTAATCTGCTGTCTATATTTAGGATGCAAAATGGTTGCCAAGGAGTAGGTGGTGGTGGACAGGAAAAGATAGATAAAATGAATTACAACCAGAGAGTACATTGTACACAAATGCATGTAGGGAACCCTGGTAGCCTCTTTCCTCTTTGGATAAAAACATCCCAGCCTGTTTTTCTCTGTAACTCTCCCCAGTTGTCTCCTGCACCAGATGTGCCAAAAAAAATGGGCAAAAAACTTGGGGGATGGAGGTGTCACAGCTGAATAGGGAGTGTTTTGGAAGAATACATCATCCCCTTCAACAGTCACAGTCTAGCAGGGTTAACTCTCTGCTGTCCCTCTTTTTCAGCTGATTTTAAAATGACCCAGTTTCTCTCTCCTCCTCCCACTTTCCCCCTTTGTCCACAGATTACTTCAATTGCTGCCCTTTCCCAGTAGGCTCAGGCAAAACCAAACTGTTGCTCCCTCTTCTAGCTTGTACTTTCTTCCTTATTAACAACTTTTGCCATCTTGACTACACTCTGAAGTCACTTGGCCACACGCATCCTGGTTTTCATCTGTGAAATTTTGAAGGAAATGGAACAAGCTGCCAAGAAAATGACCCACTGTCCCTCTCCCTTTCTCTGTTACAATGGCCTCTTCTTTGAGCTCATTTAAAGCGATTTGCTGATCACTTTATATGTGCCTCGTTTCCACTGGAAATGGTTTCAGATCCGACTGCGATCAGTCTGACTTGCGTTAAAGCGAGACAAATGCAAAAACATATACCGTATATGTGCTCTTTTCAAACACTGGTTTTCTGGTGGTTCTTTTTGGTAAAAATCGATTCAGAAGAGTGTTCAACAAGTGTGAATGATGGATCTGGTTCGCAGGCAGGCAGGGAGGCAGGCGAAGGCCCACCAGGGACAAGGTGTGGCAGGAGGAACAGCTTCTGAAGCAGGGAAGATGAGGACCCAGCAGCTGGAGGGAGAAAGGGAGGCTGGACTCCCCCCAACCCCAGCCCCAACCCCAGCCCCAGAACCCTACAGGAAAGGGACTGGAAGCCGCCCTGGGAGGACTGCACTTTGGCCACCCCTGCCCCTCCTCAGAGTGCCTCGCCCGCGGGAGCCTTTCTCCAGCTTTACCTTTGAAGGGAAAAGAGAAAAGGACCAAGAGACCAGGTGCATTTTCTCTGCTTCCACCCATTTGCAATCTTTGGGTCTCCCTCTTTGCAAGGGACCACTAGCAGCAGCAGCAGACTCCCAGCCGCCTCCTGTGAGACCCCCCAAGGCTCCGAGAGAGGGAGAGGAGGAAGGATGCCTGCTAGGGTGCGTTACGGGGCACTTTCTGGCTGCTTTTGTCTCCCCAAGCTACGGGGAAGGGGACCAGTTGTATGTTGTGTATGTGTGTGTGTGTCTGCTTTTTGGCAGTCTGGGGCTTAGTGGCTCCCACACTGGGTGATCACAGGTCCCCCTTTTCCAGGACACAGTCCTCCCTTTCAGCCTTCTGTCCAAAAGCATCCTCCATTTTGAAGCATGGATTTCTAGGGGCTCATTCCCACTAGTGGGAATGAAATGGGATAAGGAAATAATTCGCTTCTATAGTGGGAACTACACAGCAGTCTGAATCGGATCTGTAACCCAGTGTCAATGCGAATTGCAAACCGGTTTAAATGCAAGTGGGAATGAGCCTTCAGAAAACTTTGCAAAGTGAAGCAGTTGCTGGTCTAATGTTATGTGCGACTGCATTGTAGCCATTCAGTTCACCCCTTGGAGTTGCTAACTTATGATGGATGTAAGCTAAATGGCAGCTGATAATGGCAGTGTGGCATAGTGGTTTGAGTGTTAAACTATGACTCTGAAGACCAGGGTTTGAATCCCAGCTTGGCTATGGAAACCCACTGGGTGACCTTGGGCAAGCCAGACTCTCTCAGCCTCAGAGGATGGCAATGGCAAACCTCCTCTGAATAAATCTTACCTGGAAAACCCCTTTGTAGGTTCGCCTTAGTGTCACCATAAGTTGGAAATGACTTGAAGGGACACAACAACAAGAACAACAACACCAAGCATCCTACACTCTGTTACTGATTTCTCTTCATGAGATCTCCCCACTCAAAATGTGCTGATCCTATGGTTTGAATTGCTATTTCAAACACCGCTGTATCACTCTGACTTGTGGGCTTTGCATGGAAGCTTGATGCTTGGAATCAGCATCAAAGACTGTCTTAAATGAAGGAAAAGTATCAATGAAACAACATACGCTTGAGAAGAAAGCTTCAAATGCCCTCTGGCATGTAGTTAGAACATTATGCTAGAATTGGCAGTTTCTTTCTGACCTGCAAACCCAAATTCTATTTATTCAACAGATGAAGACAAATGATTGCAGAGAATGAAAAGTAGTGAAGCCAATATAGGCAAGGAAGCAATAGTTCAGATAAAAGAATGTATCAGGGAACCCTAATTATGTGTCTCTACCTCTGCTGCCCACTGTAGGCACACAGTTGCTTGTGCATGTTTTCTTCTCAACATTTCCAACAAACCTGACTCTGGAAACCTGTGGTCCTGTGAACATTTTCATGTTGGCTTCATAGTCTCTATTACTGCCTAACAGAACAGTAACTATTGCACTTATGTCCTGACTCTGGGTTTTCTAAACACATTGCACAGAGAAGCTGTCAGGGTTGAATCTTTTTCACCTCCAGGTGGGTCTGTGTCAGAATCCCTGCAGGCCATCTGCTAGAGCAGACCTGCACAACTTGGCAGTAGATAGGGGCGAACATTAAAAAAGGCAAAACTTTTTTGGGCCATAGATAGGTTTTAATAAAATATTAATTAATAATTATATTAATTAAAATTACGGTAATTAATATGAATTAGAATTTACTAATATTCATTCAGTCCGTCCTCCTGCTCTGCACAAGGGAAAGCTGAGTGGCAGAGGAGCCTTGCCTGTCCTCCTCCTCCTCTGCCTGGACTTCTCCTTGGGAGAAGGCCAAGTGACGGAGGAGCTTTGATGGACGAGCATTTGCTCCTCTCCCTCTTCTGTCACCTAGCCTTCTCAAGAGAAAGCCAGGCAAAGGAAGAGCATTTGCACACCTTCTTCCTCTTCCACCACCCGTCCTTCTCCCCAGGAGAAAGCTGAGCAGTGGAGGAGCCTTGCAAGGTGAGCATTCACCCTTCCTCCACCTCCTCTGCACAGTCCTCTCCTTAGCAAGAGGCTGAGCAGTGGAGGAGCCTTGAAGCCATTCCACATCCTTGCAGGCCGCCCAAAATCCTTTGGTGGGCCACATGCAGCCCCCTGTCCAGGCCTGTGCTAGAAGGTATAGACAAAACTGAGCTAGAGGCACCCAGTGGTTCCTAATGATCAGTCATCACAAATAGACACTAATCCATTGGTATTGTGGTCCACTATGCCTAAGTCAACAGGTGACTTGAAGGTGCATACACACACATGCATATCAAAAGTGGAAAGGGGCGATGTCTTGTAAGAATAGCAATAGCAAGTACATTTCTATACTGCTTATCAGTGCACTTAAGCACTCCTTAAGCAGTTTACAATGTGAAAGCTAATTGCCTCCAACAAGCTGGGTAATTATTTTAGCAACCTTGGAAGGATTAAAACAGGAGTAGGCAACCTTTTTGAGCTGGGGGCCGGGTTGCTGTCCCTCAGACAACTGGAGGGGTGAAGTGCCAAAAATAAATAAATAAATAAATAAATAAATATTTAAATAATAATAATAATAAAAAAAAAAGATGCAAGCCCCAGAAAAGCCATGGCAAAACCCCTGTGGAGATTTTGCCAAGAAAACCCCAAGAACAAGTAATAACAACAATAATCAATATCATCATGATGGGCAGCAGTGGCGGCAGGACCAGCCTGGGGCCAGTCCAAAGGCCTTGGGGGGCCACATCCAGCCCCCGGGCCTTAGGTTGCCTACCCCTGGATTAAAGCCTGAGTCAAGCCTTTTTAAGAACAATGCAGAAACCTTCTTTATCACTGATCTCAACATAGTGACATCATTTAATTTCTTCTCTCAAGTATGAGCAGCTACCTGCTTCTAAATATGAATGGTTGGGCCTTATCTGTATTATCTTATTCAAAAAGGTATGCCGCTCAGTTTCTAGACTGGAGCCTTTGAAGCTACAATTGATGAACCAGACCCCTAACCATTGCAAGTAGCCAACATGTCATCAGTCAAGCTCCAATAACTTACATCAACATTATGTTTGGCTTGGGTTTTCTTTTTTCAGGTTCCCTGTCAAAAAGAAAGAAAGAAGACAGATTTGCGGTTGTGATACTAGGGAAGGAATGTGGGCTGTCCTCATCTGTCTCTTCGTCATTTGCTCAGACCAATATAGTTTATCTGAGAAGCTCTTAATATAAAGCAATATGGTTTTTCTGGGAAGCTGTTAATATAAATTCTATCAACCAGGACCAAGATTAATTCTCTGGTGTTGGGTGACAAATAGATTCAAGAATAGGTGATAAGAAGGACATTGAATGCTGTAAGAAGGAATCATATATTTATATATTATATGTCTAGTCTCAGTTTTCATTTCCAAGCTCCTCTCTTGGAAGGAAGGGAGGGTGAAGGGATCCACAAATAAAAGAGGGCTGGGTTGGGAAATAAATGTTTCTTCAACTACTGGCTTACTGCTCTGTCGTCCTGTGCAGAGGAAGCTGTTTAATAACTAGAAATTACACAGCATCAATCTTCTCATTTCACAGAGAGATGGAGCATGGAAAATTCCATTTCTCCCCCTGTGAAAAACCCTTGCCAACAGCCCCCAAGGGATCCCAGAGCTCTAAATATAATATAATCACCAACCTGCAGTTTTAAATTGACTCAATGAGTTCCTTAGCCTCCTCCACCCATCACCCCACACACTCCTTCCCTTCCCTAAAGGAAATACTTTTGCTAGTACTACAGATAAACCTGTCATCCTGATTTGTAAATATATAAAGTATTTGTCATTCCTTCTAAAGCTACCTTGAGTCAATCTAATCTTATTATTTTGAACTGGCCCCATGAGAGTGTTAAATTATACAGGAAGAGTTATATGTTATGCGGATCTAATCAGGAAAAAAAGTTGTTGTAGTGTGCCTTTAAGTCATTTCTGACTTGTGGTGACATGACTAAGGCAAACCTATCATAGGGGGTTTTTTTTAGCAACATTTGTTCAGAGGAGGTATGTCATTGCCTCCCCTGAAGCTGAGAGCATGTGACTTGCCCAGTGTCACCCAGTGGGTTTCATGGCAGAGCTAGGAATCGAATCCTGGTCTCCAGAATCATAATCCAATACTCAAACCACTACACCACACT